TGAAAATGGCAGTCTTTGTGGAACTATTTTACTTTCAGAAGCAGCATTACACAAATGGAACACTGGACTGAATTTTAAAATGTGGGCTTTAGTTGAGCTCACATTTTTCTACATATGACCATGACACAGGATTAGGACTTCATCCACCCTTCCTAGGAATTCCTAAGCACAATCCAATTTAAAAAGTCAGTACTTCCCAAACTCCAAAACAAACAAACAAAACCCAACCATGTTAAGGTAAGCCAGGGAGCATTGCATCATCCAGATGAAGTTTTATGACAAGCACCAAACAATTACACAGGACTATTTCCATCATTCCTTCTTCACAAAATGTATTTTCCACACAGCATGTTTAAATACTGACATATAACTATCTAATAAGATAAAGACAAATATGTTCATCTTATTAGAAACAAAATACACCATCACTAAGCATCTTCAAATATTATTGCACTCTAATTTCCATAAATTGACAAAACATTCATGAAATAATTTGTAGAATAGTTTTAACAGAAAAGTGACACCTTTAAACAGATATGACTGGGCCAAGTTGTTTATTAGATATGAAGTTTATGAACCTTATACTAACATATCGTATTTTTTCTAAGCTGCATGGAACCACCAATAATGTGGGAGAACTCCTAGCTGTTTGTAAGAGCCAAGAATCTCACAGCCTTCAGGGTCATCCTGAATATGTCCCTGTGCTTTTGAACTGATTTGGTGATCCACTGAGTGTCAGGATTCCTTTTAATAGTTTTGTGGAATGGATCAATGAGGATTACCTCAAAGAATTTGAATGTGGAAGCTTCATCTACACTTAGAATTCAGTAGTCTCAGAGACCCTTGTGTGTTGAGCGCATTCCTCAGCAACAGATAGAAGACTTCCAGCTAACTTTAGCTGCAAGCATAATGAACAGGATTGCCAAATGTTGTATTGTTAGAAATTGGGGGTGTTTGAGGTCACCATGGCTCAGATAAATCTTGTACATGGCATAAACTTGCTTGGTATTCTATCTCAGTATGTGAGCTTTATCAAAATGGATGGGAGAGCCCCATGGAGCACAGAGATCTGGTGGTACTGCCTTCAGTGGACTCTCAAAAGAAAGCTCAACAAATAAGTCACTGGCTTATTCCTCTGGAACTCTCAGGTATACTTCTACACGTCCAACTTCATTTATCTGATGGCTGCTTCTAGAACAAATGGAAGGAGACTCACTCCCTTGTCCAAATATATATATGGTTTTTTTTGGCGGGGGGTAGTGTTCTTTAAAGGAAACACATTTTCCAGAAATTTCCAAAAAAAATCTTTTTTTTTTCTCATGCACTTTAAATAAGTTGCATATTCTTTCACCAGCAGATATGTAGGAATCAGTGTTTATTAAGATGAGGGGTGGGTAATGCAGAAATACATAACATACATCACAGTATTAGCAGAAAAGGGAAAGGAAATCAAGGGATGTAATTCTGGCAACCGACAATGTTCATGGAAATAGTGTGTGCACTCCCCATTCAATTCAGAGTTCATCAAATTTTTCTGTCTACATTTATTTATCCTCTTAAAACATATTTAAGTCCTTAAAGGTTTTTGTTTAAGCAGGTTTGTATTTACCATTATTTAACATATTAGATTTTAAAACTAAATGGTCAAAAATGTTTTAGTCATTCAAAAATAAAAATAATGAACCCATTATAAATTATTAGCATAATTCCATTGAAAGTATTTTGAAGGAATATTTACTGAATTTCCAATTATGTCAGGCTCTGCTTGTGCACTAGTAATATTAAATCATATATGACATGGTGAATGCATGGAAAAAGCTAGAATTTTATTTTACTTTCTAATAGCAGAAATTTACAATATATTTTTCTTTAAAATCTTCATATATGTGTCCCTCTGTCCCTTCTTAGTCTATGTTCAAGTTCTGTTTTGATCACTAGTATGTGAATTATTGAAGTCAGTCTCTTTCCAACCAATTGCCTGGTATATTTGCTGGAAGATATAATCATATTACTGTGCTTCCAGGGAGACACCAATGTCTGATGCCTCTAAATAAATTTAGGTTTCTTCATGTGGCATTTAAGGTTATCAGTGATATCTTCCTCTTTATCTTTATTTCCCAAACTCACCAAGAACTCTCTCCCGCTATTTGTACTCTGAGGGTTCTGTGCAGTTGTGCATAGTCATTTCCACAAACATTGATTCTGGTCATGCTAATTTCGACTTCGCTCCAATTATCAACCCCTTTTTTTTTTTGCCATCTACAAATGTACAGGTGACTTTTCATGTTGCTTAATAACCAGATACACCAAGCAATATAATCTTTGTTTTCTAAGTCTCCTTCCATGTGGAAAAAAAAAAGAAGAAGAAGGCAGTACTGAGTCATCCTCCAGCACCCTCTGACCTACCTGGTTGAGCTTAGGCAACCTACTCAATTTACCAATGCATGAAGTTTTCATTCAAGAACAGCATAAAAAAAAAACAAAAAAAAAAAAAACCATTTCTTTACTGGGTTAATACAGATGAAAAGTGCAGCTTGGTGCCTAGCAGACAGTATATTTTAGGAACTTTTTTTTAGTTGTGCATTCACTAGAAGAATTAATATTTTTTTCAGTTATTTAGGATTTTCACTACTGTTTGCCTCATTTAACTTGAACAGTGTCTCCATCTTTTGTTAATGTTATGAACATATTAATAATTTTCTTTGGAATCAGAGCAGGATTTTCATACTTCTATTGACCAAGAAAACAAATAATGACATCAAGGAGTTAAAAAAAAACCTGATTCAATTGATTCAGTAATTGCATTGTCCTATGTAATAAACAAATAAGCAAACTAATGGAGCAATTAAAATTGATAGGAGTTCATTATAAATAGCATAATTTTCTATTGGTACATGATAATCACACATAATAGACATTCTACAGTACTGGCATTACTTATTCTTGGGTGTCTCCACTGCACTTTGGCTTCCTTCTCACATCTCCGTTCTTTGCCCTCTCAGGGGCAGCCCATGGGGACTCTGACCCTGCTGCAATTTGCCGGACCTTCCAGACCTTCCTTTGAATTCTTGGTGGAAGCCTCCATGACCCCCTAACCACAGTATCCCACAACCCTGAAGAACCAGCACCATGTAGTTACTACCAAGGTCGGCCAGCATCTTGAGCTAAGTAGCCAAGACCCCAGGGACCCTGGAGAAGCAGTCTCCGAGAGCCTGGATGGCTGAACAGGTTGAAAAAACTTCCTAAACTGGCCTGTGCAAGCAGGGTTGCCCCACTGGTCTCTTCTCAAAGGAATTTTTATTCCCTGGATCCTGAAATGAGTGTGGTCTTGCCAATTCCTCAGAAACTCTTAAACCATCTTTCCCATTGTCTCTTTTAGCATTTCTTAGCATTGTTTCTTTAGCATTTCTTAAATGGCAGTAATGTCTTTAACATTTGCCACTTCCTTAGATCCAGTCTTATTCTCACCTTTGAAGTCTAAGCTTTTCAAATCTTTCTGTTCTGCTTTCTGCTCCTGAGTATTACAATAAACTTGACTAAGAGCCACCAGCAATACCCCTGTCACCACCTGAAAACTATGCTGCCTAGAAATTTTTTCTGCCAGATTAAAGTCTATTGCTTTTAAAATCAGCCTCACAGAAAGTCTCAGGAAATGGACAAATGGAGAAAACTTCTTAGCCAGAAGATAACATGAATGGCTTCCATTCCAATTTCCAATAAAATCCTCCTTCTCCAAAACCTCATGAGCCCTGTCTTTACTTGGGATGGTCCTATTAGCATTCTGGTCTTCTGAGCTTCCACAGAATCCCCCCTTAAGCTCTACTTACAATAATCTAAGGCTTTTCCATCTGACATCATTAAACTTTTCAAAATTTCTCCCACAAATTTCCAAAAGCTCCAAAATTTTCTGAACTAAGGGTCAGTTTAGTGACAGAAATGACCCTACTTCTTCGTACCAATATCTGCTTGGTCAGATTTATTGTTGTTGTTGCTGTGACTAAAAGACCTGACAAGAACAATTTTAATGAAGAAAAGTTTACTTTGGGGCCATATGGTTTCAGAGGTCGCAGTCCATTGAAGGCTGGCTTCATTTCGCAGGATTTGAAATAATGTAGAATATCATAAGGAATGAGTATAGTGGAGCAGAGTAACTCAGGACATTACCAGGAAGGAGAGAGAGAGAGAGAGAGAGAGAGAGAGAGAGAGAGAGAGAGAGAG